CTGGAGTGGTACCTATTTATCTACTTGCACTTTGACGTGCTTTCGAACTGCTAGGTTGGCAGGAGCAGGGACCGAGCAACGGGAGCTCACCCCGTCGCGGGGATTCGAACCGCCAGCCTTCTGATCAGCAAGTCCTAGGCTCTGTGGTTTAACCCACAGCGCCACCCGTGTCCCATGAAACAACTGGTAGACCTATATTAAAACAGAAGGGGGTCGGGGAGATGTGAAGAATGGCCCAGAGAGTCCCTTAGGGGTATAACCAAGGCTACTAAACTCCTCCCCCCCCCCCAACATGGGTGCTGGCATATGTGAGCATGCCAAGCAACCTTGTCTACCATCTTCCAGGGCTGGCCGCAACAATGCTCCTAGATGTAGCATTCTACAACAGGTGGGAGCAAACTTCTCTTAGCCCTGATGTGCCTGTGGCCAGTTAATAATATCACAGCAAGACCTTTTACTTTTAATATTTTAAAAAATGTATTTGCATCTTCAGCTGTTGAAGATGCTCTTTGGCATTCCTGAGCCAAGTTTTATGTGCTCTTCAATTTACCTTGTGTAAATTACACTTTCATTGTTTTTAAAGGATTCGTTTTTAATAACACCAGCTCTTGGTCTCACTCGGTCTTCATTTGTGTCCTGGAGCAACTGGCTGTTTCCAAAGGTGCAACAGAAACCTGTGGTTTATAAAAACAATAGTAGAATTGCCATGGGCAATAGTTAGCTGGCAAGCTACCACAGGAAAAGGAAACATGTCTTGCTAATATATGTAACTTCAGTGTTTATGTTTATCAGGAACTACACAAACTAAATCTTCAGGGAAAATTGTGGACACACTTCATGAAATTAAGATTCTAAATTCTGTTGTGTCTGACTTGCCTTCCATCTTAGTGAGCAATGTGCAGCCAAAGGTATCCTTGAATTTCCTACTACAGCAGCTTGCACACAATGAATGGGCAAGGCAATTTTGAAACGAAATACAATTTTCAAGTGTAGCCATGTGAGTGGGTACAGGAAAAAGTTTCAGTAAACTTCCTGCTGTGTGTGCAGTGCTTCCCTGCATAGTCATGTAACTTGTGCAAATTGGCCATCTTAATGCTATCCTAGAAGGTGATAGACTTCTCAGTTTGGAATGCTCTGGCAAGTAGCCGTGCCTCAATTTTCTAAATTTGTATACGCACCATTTATTTTGCCTACAAACTGTGTATTCTGAACTGGAAACTCAAAGTGCATGGTTATAGCAAGCTGCAAACCAAGCATATTTTTTTACAGATATCTAGCCATGAGGATCTGTCACAAAATTGACCCTTTGATTTGAAAACAGTCTGAGCCAGCCTGTTAGCTTTGGATTATAATTATTGGCTTATCTACCTCCAGAGGCTTTTGCAAATTTGGAATATATAGTACTTGGGTTTAATACTACTTTTATAGAAAGAAAAGTGGATGAAAGAGGAAAAATAATGATACCCATATTGTATTGCGCAGGATACAAAGTAAGCCACAGCAAATTCATCACCAGTGCAAACAAAACACAACCAATCTTTAACCATAGTTAAGGGGTTGGGGGCAGGCATGGGAACATATATTATCTCCCCCACCCCTGCTCCTTCAAAGCATGATTCCCACCCCCTTCTGCAGCCTCCTGCCAGCCTTAACTACCACTGACCACGCTCATATAGTGTTGTTGCCAATTTTCTGAATTGAATGGATTTTGAAGTGACCCTCCCCCAGGTTGAAAACAATGGTCTTTTTACGAGGTGAACCAAAAATGCCTTTTAATTTTGGCTTGGTCTGTAAATACGCTCAGCCTTATTCCAGGCTACCTCTGCCCTCTTGTATTCTAGCAGCAGCAGCAGCCAGGAGGAGGGAAGCTGTTTCTTGGGTCACTGTTAGGTCATAAAGCCATACCAACAGGGTGTAGGGCTATAGATCGCCAGGGGTTCTGGGCCCTTAGAAAGGGATGGAGAAGAGGCCAACAGTGAGAGAGCTTTCCTTGCAAATCGTTTACCTCCTTACCCCTCTTGCTTGGTAAGTTTGCGAAAAGCATCCATGTTCTGATATTTTCCCAAACATGCAATGTTTAAATGTGAGGATGAGGGTGTGGCACTCACACAAGCCCCACCCAAACACCCCTGTTTGAATTCCCTTTGAGCTTCCGCTGTTGAGTGGGCAGCATACATAGGGGTTCTGGTGATTATTCTCTTGAATGGGAGTGGAACACCTTGGAAGATGGGTGACGTTGCTTGATTCGTGTCCCTGATTGCTAAGAGGGTTCTACTGGGGTTTAAGTGAATACAAGTAAAAATGTGTTGCAGGTCTTCCCTGTTCAAAGCAGAAGGCTGGAGCCGAACACACCAGCCTGATGCACATGGGGTTGCTAGGAGCAGGGCTTTTGTGCATGGTCCATGCCCCGTCTCCACATTTCAACATAGGTATGGTTCAGGCAAATGCTTGAAGAATGGCTAGAGTAATGAAGGCAAGTGTAGGGAAGGTTGGAGAGAATAAATGGCTTTCAAGAAAGCACCCAGAACGGTCCTTTTGAGCTTTCAGAGAATTTTCTGAAAGAGTTCAAAAAGTCCCAACCAAGATGGCTTTAAGAAAGGGAAATGTCAGAGCGGTAAATCATTTTATCACTTGTCATAGCATTAACTGGTTCTTCAGAATCATATTAAATATAGCTAGATGCAAAATCTTCCCTGTTATGGATAAGTATAGTCTTGCATTGCAGAGTGATATTCCATGCTTGTGGCATTCATATGCAAAAACAAGTACACAAGGATAGGGTTTTGTCTGTGATTAGTGCACATTGTTTCATAGCCAAAATGTCAACCAGCCTGCTCTACCCTTGGTTCTTGGCTGTTGCTTATCACTATTCTAAATTAAAGAGCCAAATGGTTTGCTGTTATGCTTGCTATTGCAAGCAAAAATCATGAATATTCAATGCACCCCTAATTAAAAGTGATATTTTATCAATGTGACACACAGACAAAATTATTTCCATGAGGAAGTATCTCGACATGAATAGAGATTTAGGATTGTATCAACTGCTTTTTCTCAGCTGATGGTAAGGCTTCCTTCAGTGAAATGAGGAAGGAAGCAATTTTCAGCAGTTTCCCTCTGAGTCTCTGCTCCCCTAAATTTTTATGTAGGGATCCCCAGTCATCTGGAACAAATTTGGCAGGGATTCAGGGGGAGGGGAGAGTGCCAAAAATTGCTTATATTTCCATTCCACTGAATGAAGCCTTGCTATCAGTTCAGCTACATCAGCCTAACACATTTGCATCATTTTAAAATGAAAAGTTTAGCATATTATCATATCATGCAGATACAGCATATAGTATATGCCTAAATTTGACCTATTAGCTAAGCTTGGGCAGCATGCTAAATCCAGGAGGAAGATTTTGGAAGCTTCTACTTTTGGTTTACTACAGTTTGTCATGTCATCTGAATCAACAAACTGTGGATAACATAAACTAACATTAACTTTAGTTAATTTCAAACAGGACAACTTCAAAGCTTGGTTTCCAACGCTGACTGGCTTAAAACAACCACAGTTAATCACAATCAATGAATTCAGACATTATGGTAAGTTGTGGTTCATCAAAGGCAGAAGCTTCTGAGCAACTCCTCCCAGCTTTGCAGAAGGAGAGGAGATGATAAGATGTGAGAAAAGAAGGACATTAGGCATGCCTTATTATAGCATAATGTCTGAATTATGCCAATGTGAGATTTTTCAAGGCTGAAGTTATAGTGTGTAAAGTTCAAAAGCAGAGGATGGTAGGGAGTAGAAACTGCCTGGGAAACATCAGAATAAATTATTTTAACCATCTAATAATTACATCTTTTGTCTTTTTACAAGTTTAAAAAGGTTAACTGTAGGAAATCTGTATGTTGCAAAAAGTCTGTGCCTAGCACTAATTCTACCTTACTTAGACTAATCATGTCTTGATAGTTCACTTGAAATTAATCCTTATTATCGTTGATGTGCCATGCCTTTAAAGTATATTTAAGGATAGAATGTACAAACTAGAGAGATGCAAAATAATTTTCTCTGAAACATTATTTTTTAGTACGTTGAATTGTTAGCAATGTAGATATGTTTTCAGTCTCCTGCTTCCTTATTTAACTTTGACATAAGAGCCCAAAGCAAAATGTTGTTGTTTTTTCAATCTAAGACAATTTGTGTGGGTGGGAATTGTTTCTCAAGGGTGAACTTTTGCAGCGGGTTCTACAAGCATTTTATACTGATTATTAGGTAACTGACTGAACATTTCAGCTGTTTTGTGGGGGAAAGTCTTTTTAAAAAATCTATTAAAAAGCTACACTAGTTCCAAAATATCAGTTATCAATAAATAAATGAGTTTGGAGAAACACATGTTTTTGGTTCAAGATACTTTGCAAAAATACCTAGCAGAGTTTCTTCACTTTTAAACTGGAGGTTTCATTTTACTGTGCTTGATGTTTTAATTTGTTGGAAGCCAACCAGAGTGGCTGGGACAAACCAGTCAGATGGGCGGCATATAAAATTGCTGTTGCTGCTGTTGTTGTTAGACATTATTTCCTGCCCCATAAATGCTGCTACAGTCGTACCTCGGAAGTCGAACAGAATCCGTAATGGAAGTCTATTCGACTTCCAAAGCACGGCTTCTGATTGGCTGCAGGATGCTCCAGCAGCCAATCAGAAGCTGCTGAAACCCCGTTGGATGTTCGGCTTCCAAAAGAACGTTCATAAACCGGAACACTCACTTCTGGTTTTCGATCATCAGGAAGCTGAAACTTATGAGTTCCGGGGCACATTTGAGAACCGAGGTACGACTGTACTTGTTTGCTTTCACAAAGTTGCCAGTTTCTGGAATTACAGTTTAAGAAGGACATTGATACAGTAGAGTGGATCCAGAGGCTCAGCCAGGACTGTGAGGGGTCTGGAAACCAAGTTCTGTGACAAATGGTTGAAAGAACTGGATATAGATGATTAAGGGGAGATTTGATGCCTGTCTTCCAGTATCACAGACATTTTCTGTTCCATCGTCAAACAGTTTTTATCCTTAAGAAGTTACCTAACATTAGGAGAACCTTCTTAAGGGTGAAAACTGTTGGACGATGGAACAGAAAATGTCAAAAAGTGATGACTCTTCTTCGCTGGCAGCTAGATGGCCATCTGACAGAGTAAAATGCTGCAAATGTATCCTGTATTGTATTTCCTAACTGAACAGTGTGGTTCTAAGATTAATTTCAAAGTTGCTTCCAATTGCAAAATTTTATGATTCTTCTCTCTTCCTTTGTGTGTGTATAATATATGTGTCTTCGTTAGATATTTTCCTTTTAAAGGTGGAAATAAAACTGCAGAAGCCCACTCAACATTTTCTTTTGGACACTACAGCAAAAGGGATAGGGTATCAAACATCCCATCCAGAGCCAATTTCTCTTTTGGAAAAATATTTTTATTTCCTTATTTTTGCCTGATGAAGAATCTCTAGGTCATGTGCAAGTCTATGTTCCACCAAAGTTTATAAACAGTATTAAGCAAGGCTAATTATTTACCAGAATTCAATATTCACTCTTGCATCTGCTCTTCATTTTGCATCTATATGAATTTTAAATAGCTAGTAAAACAGCTGTAAAACAGTCTGTATTCTGAAACAGAAGGGAAAAATAAATCTGTATTGCCTCAGTGGATGCCAATATTAAAGCTGCTAATAAAAGCAGAAAATTAGTTCTGAGGTCCTCTAATGAAGAGAGCAGAATATCGAAGCGGCATAAACATAATACAAAAGTGATGCTATATACTGAGCACTACAAAAACAATAGTTAATTGTTTCAGTATGTGCAAGCATCTAATCTAAAGTTCATAACAATAGAGACTTTTCAAAACAAGGGGATTATGGAGTGACTATATCAAAGAGTAACTGTATAGGCAAAGCAGAGAGCAACTGGAAAATTAATTCAACCTCTGTGCTTGCTTTAGTATCCCAAAGTTGTGACGTGTTGTTGTGACTGAAGCGTTCTTCTACATCTACCTTATTTTCAGTGTGCCCATCACTGCTTTGTCTCAAACTTTGTGATTGTTATGGATGAAGAGAAGGCCCCTACAATGGCATGGTTCAGACATAATAACAGACCACCATTTGTTGTTCTTGCATGAATCTTGTGGCTTCCCCTCTCCTTTTCATACTGCAAGATGAGATTGAAAGCTTCTGTTTCTTGTTAAGAGTCAACCTCAGTTTGCTTTTGTCTTAGAACTCTGCAAATGATGGTATATTCAGGTCACTCTTAAAGAAGAAGAAGAAAAACCAGGATCTCCTTGCAGCATTTCATCTTGCTCCTTGCAAGTGTGGTGCAACAGCCTTTGCATGACGATGTTATGTCACTGTTTCTGTAATGAGAAAAGTTACAGATAGACATCCCTTCATCCCTACCCATACTATTTCAGCGTGGCACAATAGGGAAGAAAAGTGGTGTGCAGTTTTACTTTGAGAGACCAAAGGAGAAATGCCAGTTCTCTGGCATAGCGCCCAATATTTGGGCATCAGCACAGACAGAAAGGAACAGGCCAAAGAAGTAATGGTGAGTTTGGGAGCGTTTCTAGAGCACAGCTTGGTCTACAAATGCTTTGTCCTCCTTCTGTGGACTTCATGTATTTTAGAAGATGGGGGGAAATTTCAGGATTTAGGCATAATTTTTGTGGAACATGCATGCAGGTGTTTGTGAATGTAATATATTACACATATATATCGACCACAGGCCAGTATCTTTCCAGGCCTTTGATAACTATCCTGTCTTTATTCAGATAGTTGAAAAAAACCTGATTTTCTTTTTCATTTTCTCTCTGAGAGTAAGTATTGCATTTTCTCAGGGAGTTTTTCCAGTCGTATATCTTGCATCTTCTTCAAATATAATCACTACAATTTTGCATCCTATGCAATCATATAATTTTGCTATAGTTATCCAATTTTCTATCTTTATCCAGAAAAAGTTTTTGAGCTTTATTCTTGTCTCTGTCTTTCATTGTGGCTTAGCACAGTATCATTCTAGTGACTTATCGCCAGGAGAAAGAGGAAAAAATACAACAGCTGTGGGCAGCAGGCCTGAACTTGGGATCTATTATTATTTGAGTTACTATATTTAACTATTTAGCCACTGGCTACAAGTCATTCATCCTCAGTTGTATACACAAACTTAGATCTTTGTTCAGCAGTGCTCTCTCAATCCTATAAAATAATAAAAAGAAAAACCACCAACTAGTGAGTGATCTGCTGTAATATTAAGCCAACCACTCTGTGGCTTGTTTCTCTGTTCAATGAAATGAAGAGCTCCATGCAACTTACTCCACGTAAGAGGACAGAAGATTGCAGGCAGCATGTATCATTCACCAAAATAAGATTATAGCAATTACCCCTATGTCACTTTATTTTTGAGTGGGGATTTGAACTCTGGTCTCTGAGATCCTAGTGCAACACATGAACACCGCACTAGCTTGTGTCATGCTGTTACTGTATGCTCTTCCATGTCTAACCTGTTGTAAATGGAAAACTAAGGGCTGCCTGTTCAGATGTTGCCTTCCAAGCATCTACACAACACAATCAATTTGTTAATGCATGGTCCCCAAAAATCTATGTAAGTAGAAGTTGGCATTAATGTAAGACCTGCCATGCTTATAGAGAAGCCATGCCATGGAGAGTTGAAGCCTTTGGTATTCAGTGATTCAGTTATTCAATAGTGTCCTCACTCAATCTTTTTTTCTTATATGTGACTGATATAAGCATGTAACACTCTACAAGTTTTGTTGGAATGTATGAAAGTTATTTTACTATAACATTAATAAAAAATAAAAGGCTTTACTAAAAAGAAAGCTTTTTTGCCTTCTTATCTACTCAACTCGGGAAACTGTGGAGAATAATTTTCCTGTCCTATGCCTTGTGTTCAAAAAATGAAATAAAATTATTTCCTGCCTGCCTTCCACCCTCTCCCTCTTGCCCCCCACCCCCGCCGAGAGTTGTGGGCTAGGGATAAAATTATCTACAGTACACAGATTCAGAAAGAGCAATACCTATATGAAGTATGTGTGATTCTGATTGGCTGATTGTTGATAATATATTGAGGGGCAGCTGAACATATACCCCCCCCCCAAATGGGGAAAGTCATGCCAAGTGACATTTTGGTCTGCCATATTGGTTCAAAATGATGACTGGCATCCAAATATTGACAATGACCACTGATCCCAGCTTGGGAACCCTCGTGCTAGGTTTGGTGATGATATCTCAAGAGGTAGCCGAACCTATGGAGAGCAGATGGAGAGACCGTCAGGACACTTTCTGAACTATATAGTAGATAGCCATTCTAGGGAGCAATCTGCTTTACCCTGCCTGTGAAACAACTCCATTTTCTATTACCTTTCCCTCTACCTGAGGAATTTATCAGGTTAAATCTACTAAACAAATCACTAGCAAGGCCCTATCTTGCAGTTATACTTACAAATTCAACCTTTTCCAACCTCTCTCCTTCCTGATTGAATGTTTCCCATCCTAGCCATGATTGGTTGAGAGTATCCAGGAGATTGACACTATGTTCAGTCCATCACTGGTACTGCCACCACAGTATTCAACTTTGTTTTCAGCAGCCAAACATTTCCTTGATAAAGAAACATTTCAGCAGGAACACTACCAGTCTGTGCAGCTGTCTTTTTGTTCTTTTGTAGTATTCTCCCTCTAGATTTAATATGCCATTGATGGAAATTCCAAACACTGAATTTTATTTTAAGTGGGAGCTGAACCAAAAATTTGTGGGGTTCAGTTTTTGTAGCAATAAGATTACTCTTTGTGGACTGCATGCATTTTCTCTTAGAGATACGTGCTGTTTAAGAAGACATCCCTCTCAAACTTTTCTGTGTTATTTGGATGTACCACATAGCCACTTCCTGAAAGCATTCAGCAGATGTTTTGTTGTATTTAATACAAAGCCCTGGGTTTGATACCATTTTTTCTTGAAAGAACAAATAATTCAGTTTTCAAAAGCTTCAATCATTTCCAACCAAAAACACACTACTAGGATGTATGCAGACATTGCTATTGACTATTCATAACAGTATTCAACCATGCGGCGGACCAGTCCCATGCAAACATAGGCTATCATTTGCATCACAACAAATGGCGTTACCATTTTTAAAAAAATCTTGAGGTTTTGCATCAAGGCTTTGGAGGTTACAAAAATGCATATTTATAAAATCCCATTTTCTTAGCATTCAGATTCTTTAATCAAGAGAGCTAAACAGAACAAATTATCCTAAATAACATAAACAGCTATAAAAGTGCTTGCCTTAAACGGCCTTTTTCTGCATATATAAATATAAATGTTTTAGTGAACTGCTTCAGCTTTTGTGCTTAGAAATTCACCTCTTTTTAGTTTTTTCCTTGCTTGTGGTTAAACGTTTTTGTTTTACAGTACATTGCCAGTATATAGACCAATAAATTTGACTCTTGTTACTTTATTTTTTATAATTAAATTCTCCCACTCTATACAATTATCTTTCCCCCCCTCCATTTTTCTTTTAAATGCAGAGGCTTGTTGCTACAGGAGAACAGCAGGCTTTCAGAAGCACTACATTACTATAAATTGGCCATTGGAAGCAGACCGACTTTAGCCTGTAAGTAAAGCTGCATGTTCATTTGTTTTTAAAAGATGCTTTTCTCTCGTGCTGTGGTATAAATACCACTTTTGGAAAAGAGCGCTGAAAAATACATTTTATCTGTAAAGAATTAATTGTGCGCAAGGGAGAGATTCTGCTTGCACATAGGTATTTTTCATAATACCTCCTAAGCCCCCCTACGTGCAAAGGTTGCTCATTACCAGCCTTCCTTATTTATTTGGCGAATAGCTACCATTCCTGTTGAATTTTATGACAGAAGCTTTGTTTGTTCTTCAGACTCACATACCTACCTGGTTGGGGTTCAAATGTTTTTCTCGTTGCAGTAGTAGAATGTGGCATTTTATCGTACATAATCTTCTTTAGAGAAATGGGTAGCGGCAAGAGTCTTTTAATCTATAGCATGACCATTGTCAGTCATGATGGTACAAGTTCAGCAACATCTGGAGGGCTGCAGGTTCACCACCCCTCCTTTATAACATACGGT